ACACACACACACACACACACACACACACACACACACACACACACACACACACACACACACACACACACACACACACGCACACACACACACACACAACTAATTGCTTCACTCACCTGAAGGCACTTATCTCAGACTCCGGCTGTGCTTTCATCACTTGCATCCAGATGGAGTCGCCCGAGTTGCTCGTCTTTGTGTTTCCCTGCCAAAGGTCGTGAGTGTGAGAGGTCTGGCCTCACAGCAGCAGCAGCAGAACTTTATCTCTCCCTGAGCTCACCTCATTATAATATGTGTTTCTATTTCTCCGTGTTTCTCGGTGATTCACTGCAACCTGATTAGGAAAACATGTTTTCTGGGAGGACAAGTCAAGTGTTGACGAGTCACCTCTGTGATTTTTCACAGTTTGGACGACGGTCACATGTGGAGTGTGCCCGTTTCTCTCCCGATGGAAAGTACCTGATAACCGGATCAGTGGACGGGTTCATTGAGGTGTGGAACTTCTACACTGGAAAAATTAGTAAGGTAAAAATAAACACTGAAACTGATCATCTTTACAGAATTGAATGCTTGTACTTTAGATCTGAAACTCATTGCTGCATTAAGTTAATATACTAAGTCTGTTAATGTTGTTTGTGTTTATTTTTCGATTGTTCTGCGGTTGGTGTGTGTGTGTGTGTTTGTGTGTGTGAATGAAAAAGGATTTAAAGTACCAGGCACAAGACAGTTTCATGATGATGGATGATGCTGTGCTGTGTATGTGCTTCAGCCAGGACACTGATCTCCTGGCAACTGGATCTCAGAACGGCAAAATAAAGGTTGGACCATGTTTATATACTAAAACATTGCTGGGTAATAACTTTCTGTAGATTTCTCTCTGTTTGCAAACAATTATACTGACTTTCATGCTAATTCACTCAGTATGGAAATGGAAAATATTGCAGAAACCTTACCAGTAGTCATGATGTTCACTCCCTAAAATGAGAATCTGTGTGTTTGGGGGTCTTGGTCGTAGGTGTGGAAGATCCAGAGCGGGTTGTGCCTGCGCAGGTTTGAGCACGCTCACAGCAAAGGTGTGACCAGTCTGAGCTTCTCCAGGGACAGTAACCAGATCCTCAGTGCCTCATTTGATCAGACCATCAGGTGGGATCAACAGTAACAGCACAGAGAACATTAAACTGAAAACTAAATGTGGAGGCATGACCTCCTCATATTAGTTTAGTATAGGAAGTATCGGCACGGTAATTTCATGCTACACTCATAATGGCGGTAATAACATTACTCATTTAAGCCATGTTTGACTTTCAGAGAAGCTGTAAACAAATCGTGCATTCGGAGTTGAGCGTCGCAAATAGTTTGAATTTAAATAATATTTGATTGAACCATGAACAGAGATAAATGAAAGTCTTACACAGGTTTTGTTGAAAAGGGATACATGTTTATAAAAATGGATGTGCCACACAAAGGGGTTAAAATAGATTAATACCAACTACAATAATTACAATATTTACAAATGACGCAAGATTCACAAAAGATTCAAAGGTTGACACATGGGCGTCAGTTGAGCTGAAGAAGGCACTGAGCCCACAGTGACTGAGCAGAACGTTCCCACAGCAAGGACACACAAAAGATAACAGAACTGGCAAATAGAAAAGTAGATGGGAAAACCCACTGGGAGTTTATTTAGTTTTTTAACCCTGCAGTGGTTCTAACCCAACATTTTGAGTTGTGATATCGTGTTGAAAAAGAAGTTATACTTCACTCAAACGGTCTGATCATCTCTGGATCTCCGCTGATGGGTCGAGTCCCTCGCAGTTTCCTTTCAGGGAGTTAAAAGAGAGATTGTTCATTAATGGATGGGTTTTCAAGTTATTATGAAAGTCATTATAAATTATATTTAGAGATATTTTGGTTGCAGAGCAGTTCCACGGGGTGATGATGTAAGGTGTGTTGTTAATGTGTTGCTTAGATCATTTAGATAATAGTTATCTAGTTATATATTATTCATCATACACAATGTAATTCAATTATAAATGTCTAAACCTTTTTATATCAGTTGAATTTTGTGGTTGGTTTCAGATGTTTTTGATGAGATGTTACACACACATCTGCAGTGGATGCCTCATATCACGTGTTGCACATGCATCATGCATCTGAATGTAAATACGCAGTTTCCAAAAAGGGGAAGAATGCTTTCTCTCTCTCTCTCTCTCTCTATGTCTTCTCCTCACATAGCCAAGGAGTTGAGCACATGTGCTGTGTGGGTGTAGCAGAGAAACCATGTGCAAAGCTGCAGCGTCGCGTTCCTTCACTTGCTGGGAGTCAGAATTGTTTACAAATCCCCCTCCCAGAGACGGAGTGAATCAGCGAGCATTAGGCTTTTTGTCATGATTTAGCTAATCTGCATCCAGTCACTCCACAGCAGCTAAAAATAACATCTGCAGCTCAGCAACACGTTTTGTCTTCTCTCAAAAAAAACCATCCTTCATGAGTTGAATAGAAATGATTCTCTTAGTGAGTCACAGCTGCTCTTTTATTGGAATTAAATGTTTTTTTTGGCTTTTGTGTCATTTTCAGAATCCATGAACTGAGGTCAGGAAAGACACTAAAGGAGTTAAATGGCCATTCATCATTTGTAAATGATGCATCTTTCACTCAAGATGGATGCCACATCATCAGTGCCTCATCTGATGGCACCGTTAAGGTACAATGAGCTGTGAAAATTAAAAGATGAACTGAACCATAATTCAGGTCTGAGAATGTGCTGTAATATACTGACGCATCTCACTGTGGGATTATTCGCTGTCTATTGTCTAGATTTGGAACACAAAGACGAGCGAATGCATCCACACTTTCAAATCTCTGTCCCGCACACCGGAGGTCCCCGTCAACAACGTGATTCCTCTTCCCCAAAGCCCAGAGCACTTTGTGGTTTGCAGCCACTCAAACAAAGTGGTCGTCATGAACATGCAGGGTCAGGTGAGAGATCTGTGACCTATAAGCAGTCCATAATAATCAATCAAATCTAAAAGCTACTGTTATATCAAGAAAATCTCTATTCACAACCCAAGAATTAGTCCCATATTCATTGAAAAGTTTCAAGGAATATACGTTTTTACATATACACAGAACATATTTTTAGTTTTGCTAGCCCCCACACAGAGCCCATAGATCTCTGTAGAAATGTCTCCTGCTCTGTCTCCTCAGACCGTGAAGACGTTCAGCTCAGACATGAAGGAAGCCACAGACTTTGTGTGTTGCACCCTGTCGCCCCGCGGGGAGTGGATTTACTGCGTGGGGGAGGACCTGGTCCTGTACTGCTTCAACTATACGACGGGGAGGCTGGAGAAAACGCTGACCGTAAGCTCATTATCACAGTGTGTGAGAGGAGGCAGCTCCCCCACACCCTGAATGTAGAAAACGGAAAAGTGAAAGTGTTATTTATCCGACTGCTGCTGTTTAGCCGCCCTGCAGTGGGCTAACAAGTAAAACAGGACTGCAAATACTAAAAAGAGAATGTGGTGATTCATGTTCCTTTGCACCCACAGGTTCATGAGAAAGACGTCATCGGCATTACTCACCATCCACACGAGAATCTGATCGCCACATACAGTGAGGACGGCCTCCTGAGGCTATGGAAGCCAGCTGCATCGTAACATAGACGACCTGGAGAGCCATGAAGTTCTTGACCAATTCATTCTTTTAAATTGAACTGTAAATACCTTAATATTCTATATATGAATCCATCAGTAAATTATAAAACAAACAAACAATCTCACAACATAGTCCGTTTAGTAGCTGTTCCGGAGCTTTTGATCATATCACATGATTCTCATTAGTAGACCCATTTTTCAAAGTTGTCATGGAATTGTAAAATTCCCGTTTTTCTGATCACATGAGGAACTTCTGGAAACTTCATTTGCAGATCATTATACGACCAAAACTCCAGAACAGCTATTCAAACCTTGGGTGAGTTTGACTTGTCAGCTGCTGTTTTCACAGTCAAGAATGTAATTTTGACATTTGAAAGTTTGAGTTTATTGACGATAAGCAGAAACAAT